AAAACCATGTAAGAAATGTGTTTAAAAATATAAATGGAACTTGCATGTATTTGGGAAAAACAGGTCTGAATGGAAATTTCAAATGATTTACATCTCTCTGGCCAGATCCTCAGCTGGTGTAGGTCAGGGTCACCAAATTCAATGGAGCCGTGCCAGTTTACGCCATCTGTGGGTCTGACCCCTACAATCTATAAAACTATTCATGACAGTATGGATAACACTGATGATACATTTATAAAATCAGAAGGAGCAGCAGGATCATGCTTCTACAGCTATACAGCTCAATATCATACCAGTATATGATTGATTATTAGCTGGTATATGTACTGCGTTATATGTACAAGTTGTTGTACTTTATATACAACAGAGTCACCCTCTCAATATGGCAGGCTCATCATGCAAGCTCTCTAAATGCAGAACTGCCATTGGCTTCAATTGGAATTCTGTGTATGGAATGCCTGCAGAATTAGGCCCAAATATCAGAGAAGTTGTGTGAGTGATACCAAATGGATTTGCAATGTTATGCTCTTTGCTTTCAAAGAAACTTGATCAAAGACTAAATTCCAACACAGGACAGTGTTGCTTTGCTTGCAGAGAAAGGAGCATTTCAGAAATTTTAACTGTGCTGTCATTTGGTGCCAGGGCAAACAAACAAAAATAGTACTGAAGTGTATAAGTTGGCCTTTAAATGAAAATGCAGAAAGATCCACTGAAATGCTGAAGCACTTAGCAAGGAATACTTCAATTCCTCATCTCTGCCTTCACTAATAAAAATTCACTACAGTCAGTCTGAATTACTGTAGAGGGTTTCAAGGGGAAAATAGAGGTTAACAAGGGCAAAAGAAAACTCACAAACAAAATATATGCCTGGAATTAAAAAAAAAAAGTGTCAGGAATACATGAAAAGTTGATTTCACACAGAATTAGTGGCAAACAGGGCCGGCGCAACCCATTAGGCGACCTAGGCAGTCGCCTAGGGCGCTACAATTTGGGGGGCTGCAGCCGTGGCGGTATTTCGGCGGCGGGACCTTCCGCTGCCTCTGTGGGGGGCGGCATTTTGGGGCGGGACCTTCCACCGCCTAGGGCAGCAGAAAAGCTGGTGGCGCTCCTGGTGGCAAATGGAGAGCAGCCTCTGTTTAATCTGAATAATAAACTTGAATCTCTTCATAGTGTTCACGTCCAATCTGTTTTCTAAGCATAGTATCTCCTGGTGTGTTATTGTAACACAAAGCACATCCTTTTTGCTCATTACTGTTAATTATAGTGAAAAACTACGATAATTAACTGCAGTACAGTGTAACTGGATGAAATTTACATAAACCAACCCCTTCATAGACACCTTTATATATCCTTTACTGTCATCTTTTACAATGACGTTTCCTTATAATAAAATGTTATGAGTGTGGTAATTAAATTATTACACTGCTTCTTATATTTCTGTTCCCTCCTAATACAGATTCCATGAGCTACTAAACCAGTTGCCGGAAACAATGGCAGAGATACTTTGAATTGAGCCTAATACAACAACAAAAGGGCAATTGTCTTACTATGGCACTCCAAATTATTCACATGTAGAATTCTTGTGGTGAATTATTAAGAATTTCTTTTCTTAGCTGTTGTCCCACTCCCAGTATTATTGGAGTGCAAACATTTTTCAGCATTGCACTGAACCTTCCTTTCTTGCTTTCCAAACTAACTGGCCTTAATCCTCTCTCTGTGACATTAGTCATTCTCAGAAAGCCTGATGTCCCAGCACTGTCGACTCCTCAGAGCAGGCTTTGCCTATCCTTCTTTAAATCAAAATCAGCACGGTCTTTAGCCAGCATTTTGAACTGGATCTGAACCCACTTCTGAATGTCAGTTTTGCCAACTCCCTCCCCATTACTAGATGTCACCAGCTTCCACTGACATCACAGGCACGGTATCTGGGCCTCTTTGCAGGAACCAGCAAGTTCTTGTTCTCTTTTGCAGATATTGAGAAGGAAAACTGCTATAGCTACATGGAGGGCTGAAACATGCCATTTGGAGTTCAGCTGAACATGAAAGCTCCCCTTTCATAGCATCCTTTGTAAGTTTCCCATGAACTGTGGCAGATTCTGTACTTGACGCCCTCCCTTATTCCTCTTCCTTTGATCTTAAAAATTATCCAATCTGAGTGCAAGGCAGGTGAGAGCTACTAAGAGGTTTGTATAATATTTAATACAATTGGGAGAGAAGCAAGAGCCACATATCTGAAATAACTTTAGGGTGAAGGATTCTTTCACTTAAAAGAAAAATGAGTGAAGTGAAGATCAATGAAGAAGGTAAAGGACTTGGTATAATGGGACTGCATATTTTCCTTCTGCTCATAAGTATGTTTTGCCAGAGTTTCTTTCAAAAGGCCCCCTACAAAAACAAAACAAAACACACACACACACCATGCAACCAAACAAGCCTTTACTTCCTAACCTTCCGAGCCTTAAACTCTTCAGATGAGCTAAAGAAATGATCACAGCCTGATTCACCACGGTGTTACTCCATCAAATTCAATGGAGTTACACTAGCAAATCGCAGTGGTCAATCAGGTCCTCACACTGCACTGTTGTCATCTCACAAAAATGCTGCAGGTTCCCCATCCACCAGCCAAGTTAGCAGGGTGAGGGCTACATGCACACCTGCAATTCTGCACGTTCCCGAATCTGATTAGCACAGAAAATGCAGAAGACCAGAAAGCATCTTTCCCGTGTTTAACTATGTACATTTAACACCAATTCAGATTTCACCTCCGTGCATTATCTATATCAAGGGCGGATAAGGTAAGGAAGACAGAGACTGGCATCAGCTACTTTTAAGCTTTATCCCTCCATCTTCCTTGAAACAGTGCATATAATGTGTTTGCTGTTTGCACACACATGCCTGCACAAAGCAGAGACCTGTCTCTATAGATTTGCTATAGTGTAAAATTGTAAAAGGCAACTTTCCTGCTAGTCCAGTTGGTCAAATAACTGCAGAGCCCAAAAGCAACAACCCTGAAAACATACACTTTCCCCTCCTACCCGCCTGCCTGCCTGCCTGTCTCTCTCTCTCTCCCTCTCTCTAATCACTTAGGAGGAAGATAGGAAGATTATCAAGGAAGAAAAAAAAATAACCAAAGCTGCAGATAACCCTTTAGGACCATAGTATAAGGTTACGTGATTTGGAGCATAAAGGTTAATGTGCAGGAATCTCAGATGCAATTTTATATCTATATGGGGGGGGAGGTTGACGAGAAGATGAGGAAGAAAGGAATGGTGATGAAGATAGAAAATGAATGTGTATATCTAGGGTTGGTTTTATGATCAGCTGGAGTGCCCAGCAAGAGATTAGCGATGGAAACAGGATACGGATTTATCATCACCAAGACACTGCAATTTTTTGGTGGGGTATTTTTATCATCATCATCAGGACGGATTTTATGGAAACTACATCTGGAGAGATATGAGTTCATTCAGTAATATGAAGAATAAAGGTAATGTCCACACAAAAAAAAGATAGATACCTTCAGCAGTTGTATTATTTTAAAGATTTAGAGGGGAAAATAAAATAAAAGTCACTTTCATTTCAAGATTATATGATGCTTACATCCCATCCATATATTCCAATGGTTGCCATGGGGTTTGTGGAGAGGAGAAGAACGAATGAGGAGGGGGGGGGGTCATAATCAATCATCTCAGAAGAGCATTTCTCCTTACAGAGAAAGATCTGGATTTTGACTGTGTCCCTAAGAAAATTGCAGACTGCAGAGCTGCTGCCATGCAGGGCAGCGAGGAAGCAGGCAGAGCAGAGGCAGCAGCTGGGGATGGAAACGCCTATTAAATCCTTTAGACAACAGATGGGCAAAGCTTGGCTGGGTTTTTAAAAAACACAATGCATCATGTTTTATTGTCCCACCATAATGAACAACACTTAACACCCACAAGCCCAAAGAAGCCCCCTATGGCTGATTCCACCAACCCTCCCTTCTAAATTATAACCTGGAGACTTGATCCACTTTTGGGGGTCCCCCAACCAAATCAATTTGCCAGACTCCATTGCTCATTGCACCTGTTACTAAAAAAGAACATAAAAATGGGAAAGGCTTTTGGGATTTTTTTTTAACCGCTCTTCCTTCCAATTACTGCTCCCCTGCCCTTGAAGTAAATATAACATCCAGGCAGGCAACCAGCGAGTCCAAATCTTGAATGCATTTAGAAGATCTAATTATGCCACGTAGGGGACAAGCACCTGCTCTCTGCTAATTCTCTCACTACGTTTCCTCTTAATATTTCTTACCATTGTTCCTTTCAGGAAAATCTGATGGGGGCCAGTTTCACAAACAGGGGCTTTTGGGAAATAAATAAATAAATAAAAACCTCAAACCGCTAGAGTGAATTCTGCTGCTGACCACTTTTTTATTTTTAAATTCAAACTATGCCACGCAAAAACATACCAAACAACACCATCCATTCATATTTTCCAAATAACCACAGCAGCCAGTGCCATAGACTGTACTGTGCATATTCTCTCCCACCAACTGCACCTTAAGGACTACACCCTTTTCAATCATGATGTCATGAAATACTGCTGGTGACTCCCCCGCCTCCCCACCACGTCCTTTTCCTCCTCCTCTCCAGTATACACAGTGCACCTCTCATTTCAATTTAATTTGATTAAAAAGAAAAGGAAGCAAAGTGGGGCAGTGAAGTAACTGACATGAAATTTACCAGCAGCAGGGCATCCCCGTTTTCCTCTGCATGCACTTTGACAGTCACCAGAACAACACCCGTTAGCAAGAGTGATGCACGCAAGGCAACCTATGCTTTTTTTTTTAAAATAAATAAATAAATAAAAACAACCGGAAATAAATAAATAAAGGCAAAAATCCATTCGAAATAGTCTCTCCACTGCAGCAGCCAAAGGGAAAACCCATCCCCTCACATCTCCCATCCCCATCAGCTGCTACCGCACCTTATCCCTAGTGCGGCTGCTGCAAAGGAACCAACCTGTCTGTCCTTTGCCCAAGGTTTTCTCCAAGCGATAGGGTCCAACATATTGTGCATGTTGAGCTCCGCTGCCTTCTTTCCCCGTTGATGTCATTTCTACCTGGCTCTATAATTCTGCGCTGTGTGTGTGGCGGGGAGCTGGGATTTCTCTCTCTGCAGTTCTTTAAATTCCCACTTTGCAGCTGTGTAAGCAAAGCACCCTTTCTCCCTCGCTCTTTGCTGCTTTAGTCCACTTGGCTGCAGATTTTCTCTTCTTCCTTTTTCCTTGTCTGCCTCTTTCTTTCTGACAGTCTGTCAGCGTGGGATGCTGAGGGCCAGAGCAGCTATTACCAGTGTTCAAAGAGGGGGATCTAGGATCCAAGCCCAAGGAGCATGGTGCTGGTGATCGGAGCTCTGCACGCCTTGTTCTCACTATGAGCTGTTCAAGGGAGAGCTAGAGCTAGAGCAGCGGAAGAGCTGGGGCCCAGAGTTCTGAGTGACATTACAGGCAGCCAATCTCCAGCAACAACTCAGTTCCCCTCTCCTCCTCCTCTCCCCACTACCTTTCCTTTTCCATCAGTATCAGCAGCAGTTGCTGCCCCTGTCTGATACAGAGCATCATAATCAATGGCAATATCAATAAACCTACGGCTATCAGTCTATTGATAAGGAAAATAATTCAAGATAAATAGGGATAAAGTTATTTTAAAAATCATACGCACACACATATACATGTCTTTCTCTAAATTATCCACCACTAGGCACCTGCCACTGCAATTCACCGACCAAAAGCGACAATTAAAATAATGCTGAGGTTGTGGCATTATTTATAAGAGGAAAGAAATCTTCTTTGGAAAACAAGCTTGTACGATTTATGGATGCTGGTTGTATGGGAAGTATTTCTATTCTTTTTGTTCTGTAGGAGTCTTTCAGAAACAATGACTATTATGAAAAACAGGGCCTGATCAGGCTCCCAATGAACTCAGGGGAGGGTTTGCTTTGGACTTCAATGGGGGAACATGTAGGACTGAATGTACAGACCAATAAATAAATAAATAAATACATCTAGCATAACTGGTACTTCAGTTGGTAATCACAACTGAAATGCCAAGGGTAAAACTTGGAACCATGGAAACTTTTAAGCTCTACAGGTGGTCTCTCTACGGCTGTGACACAAGGGCAGGGCAATATAGGGAAAGCTTGTACTTCTGCAGCCCGTGCTGTATCTGTTCTGCAAAGAGGTGCCCTGATTCAGCAAGGTACTTAAGCATGTGTGTAACTTTAAGCACGTGAGTAGTCTCAGCTAAGTCAATGCGATTACTTATGTGCTTAAAGTTAGACACATGCTTAGGTACCTTGTGGATTCAGGACCGTATAAAGGACTTCAGTGTCCAGGACTATCAAGGTAACTCCTTTCAACGCCAATGAAATTCACCCCAAGCCCCCATATTTACTTTCTCTTCATAGGTAGGCCCCATTGTCCATCCCGGAGAGCACCGTGGTTGCAGTGCCCTCATCTGAATGCCTGCAGAAGTGTTGCACGCAGCAAGGACTCCTCACTCACAAAGGAAGCACTTGGTAAACCTGCAAAAGGAAGAATAAGTAAAGAAAAAGCAGTAAGTAAAGAGATTGTCACTAACTATATCAGTATTCACTGCTCATGGAGAGACAAATATTTTTTAAACTAAAAATGTTGGAGATAATGCCTAAAGGAGAAATGTACTTTATAGTAAGTCATCCAACACCTATGTATAAATGGGTGTAAAGTCCATGGAAGATCCCTTCTGTGGACCACATCCACAGATGGTGTAAACTGGTTTTAGGCACTAGGCAATGGAGTAATTTTGCCCCCAAAATTGCAGGAGAGAGATGAGGGGAGGAACAGAGAAACTTTGAGGCTATCTATCTGAATGCAACCCCAAAAAGGTCCCAATATAATTTCCTTTCTCACCAAAAAACATGACCTCAACACTTACCTTGACCTTCTCCTGCCTCTCTTTGTAAGGTGCTGGCTTGTTCTAGCTACTGTGCTATACTGCTGCAGCAACCTTCAGTGTGTTGAGTTTCCAACCCTTCCACAAAGTCCCCCAGTCTCTCCTCTTTCCCCTTTCCCCTCTCCCTTCCAGATTTCATAGTATGTGAAACCTTCCCAGGCTCCCCCACTGCCCACAAACTCCTGCAGTAACTTCTCTCCTTCTCCCAAGACTTTCCTTCCCCCAAATGCCAGTCTCATCTCTCCAAGAACCCGTTCATTCTCACCCAGTCCCTAAATTTGCCTCATTCTCTCCCTTACCTCCAAGCCCCTCATTCACTCTTCCCCAAACTTCCTCCCCTCTTTTCCCTTTCCCCAAATTTCCCTCACAGCTGCCTCTTAGTGCCTGTCCTCCAGTAACTGTCCCTTCTTCCCAGGGACCCTGCATAGCTGTGCCCCCTTGTCCGTCCCTCCACAGCAGTGCCCCCTTGTCCCTGCCCCCTTATCCCTCCCCCCACAGCAATGCCCCTTCCCCCTCCCCCCACAGCAATGCCCCTTGTCCCTTCCCCGTTTCCCCTCCCCCCACAGCAGTGCCCCTCCCCCTCCCCTCACAGCAGTGCCCCCTTGTCGCTGCCCCCTTATCCCTCCCCCACAGCAGTGCCCCTTCTCCCTCCCCGCACAGCAGTGCCCCTTCTCCCTACCTCCTTCTCCCTCACCCCACAGCAGTGCCCCTTTGTCCCTGCCCCCTTGTCCCTCCCTCCACAGCAGTGCCCACTTGTCCCTTCCCCCTTCTCCCTCACCCCACAGCAGTGCCCCCTTGTCCACGCCCCCTTATCCCTCCCCCCCACAGCAGTGCCCACTTGTCCCTTCCCCCACAGCAGTGCCCCTTTT